ATTTATATTAGCAGCTTCCATATTTGTCCAAGGGTCTTTGACCAGCGTACTTTCCCGATACCACGCCCTCTTTCAATTGCTTGACCGCTACACTGGTTCCGTGACGTAAGCTTTCTTACGGTCTGGCCCTGACGATGGACGAGGTGTCCTTTGCCATCTTGCCTTGTGGGCACGACTACGACTTGGTCGACCCCATATCATTCCTCTTAGGGATAATTAACCCATGATCAGATTTTGACCCATACACAAACAAAGGAAAAATTAACAATCACTGATCATATATCATGTCAAAATACATGCATTAGTTCCAACTGCTGATGGTTCCTCTTTTGGTCCACTATTTAACGGTGGTTAGGTCCTCCCTTTGCATGGTTTAAACGTGATAGCAATAGAACAGGATTCAGGATTTAAATTTTATGAATTCAACTTTTAAGATTTTTAACATTATACTCATTATATTTTAAAGCTATGGGGTCATATATACTATTTGTTACAATCTTACACATAAATTTATACTCCATGTCGAAAGTTATAGGTTCAAAAGAACCCATATCTTTAACGCTACAAAGCAACTAGCGACCCACCATTACACGAAGGCGAGATACACGTTTTACTATTTGGGTTTGCGTATTAACAGTTGTTTTGCTTTGAATATTTTGAATTAGATCTCCCATGTTTTTCATGGATATAAAGTTAAGAAATAATAACTGAAGACCATTTCACTACTAGTATTTATATAGCTCTAGTTTCTCATGCAAATCATATCCTTGCCATAGACTACTCAGCTAGCTAGCAATACTGATAAAAAATGACTATTACAAATTTCCTCAAAATCCAATCCAAAAGTGAACAACCACCACAAGAAACTCTAAGTGAGGATCTTGATGAGTTTTTCACTTCTCTTCCCAAAGAAAAAGGGTGGAGAACACCCAATCTTTTCCTATTCCAAAACTTTTGGTGTCAACCCAAAGAAATCCGAGCCATAATTTCGACACAAAAACATTTTAAAGCTCAAGACAGCGATCTAATAGTAGCGTCCATACCAAAATCTGGCACTACATGGCTAAAAGCACTCACTTTCTCCATTGTAAACCGCAACAAATTCAACGTCCAACAAAAGAATATTAATCACCCTTTACTCACTCATAATCCTCACGAACTTGTCCCATTTCTTGAATACAAGCTTTACGCTGATTTTAATTCCCTTCCTGATCTCTCTCTTTTACCTTCTCCACGTCTTGTTGCTACTCACGTCCCTTTTGGGGCATTACCAAATTCAGTTAAGACCTCAAAATGCAAAATTGTTTACATTTGTAGGAACCCTTTTGATACCTTTGTTTCAATTTGGCATTACTTTGTCAAAATTAGACCTGAATCTTTAGGTCCTTTTACTCTTGAGGAAGCCTTTGATATGTATTGTAGGGGAGTTATAGGGTTTGGTCCTTATTGGGAACATATGTTGGGGTACTGGAGAGAAAGTTTAGAAAATCCAAATAAGGTGTTGTTCTTGAAATATGAGGACATGAAATTGGATGTGTGTAATCAATTGAAGAGATTAGCTGAGTTCTTGAGGTTTCCTTTTACAGATGAGGAAGAAAAGGGAGGAATAATAAAAGATGTGTCAAGTCTTTGTAGTTTTCAGAACTTGAGGGATTTACAAGTAAATAAGAAAGGGAAAGGGGCCATTTCAGATTTTGAAAATAGGAATTTGTTTAGGAAAGGTGAGATTGGTGATTGGGTGAATTATTTTACACCTTCCATGTTTGAGAGGCTTTCTAAAGTTATGGAAGAGAAATTAGGAGGCTCAGGGCTTACCTTTAGTCTGTTAAGTCAAGAAACTAAGTAGGCATTTGGATATAAAAATTATAATTTTCGACCAAAGTAGTATTTGAAGTTAAGTTGAACAATGATTTTGGAACTTAAAATTATGTTTGGACATGTATTTCAGTTGAAAAAAATATTGTAGTTTTATGAGTGGAAAAAAAAATCGAAAAATTTGAAATAGTGGTCAACATCACTTTTTGATTTTTTTAAAAACCTATTTTCAATTAATCGCCAAAAATTTACGAAGTTTCATGGACGTTTTTGAAAGAATTTTCTGGAAAAAAAAAAATCTATGGACAAATAGCGCCTAAAAGTTTATGCTACGGAATAGAATTCTTCTTCCAAATGTCCTTAGGGTCAGTTTGATTAGATTATGCAGGGAATAACAGGGATTATAATCTAGGGATAGTATTGCAATTGATTATAATGCAGGAATTAGTATAGAAGTATTATTTCTTGGACGATGTATAATTTGAAGGAAAATTTTGTGGTTTGTTTTTTCCTTTTTCCATCAATATGTTGTTTATTTACTTTTTTAAAAAAAAAAAAGAATATTGTTCAATGTATGGAGGTTATTTTGAAAAATTTAGTTGCTTTAACTCTGTATTCTTATTCAATTTTCTATAAGATAATACATAGATCCCTACATAATTCATGTATGTATTTATTTATGCGGGCAACAAAAATGACAACTAAAACGTATATAACTAATAATGAACTTTAATTTATGTAAGTGTACAAATATAACCGAAACAAGAACTTTATGTAAGTCTTAGGGAAAATGTATAGGCTACAATAGCGTCACAATGTGATAAGCCGGGGTTTCAAACCCTCAGGCCATCATATACACCAACTACTCACCTCTATCCGGCCGTAGAATGGTCCGCAATGCCTTTTCCTTTCGTATCGACCTCCTCGCGCGTCGAATCTAGTCAAAATCACAACGAATACATAAATATGGGTTAAAGAAATATAACCCAATCGAAAATACTCGAAAAGTACTAAAATTCACGAAGTTGGTAAAATCCGAGCCCCGGGCTCACTTCTCGAAAAATTCTGAAAATCACACCAACGGATTCCTCGTCTCGCCACGAGTCCGTGCATATAAAGTTTACCAAAATCGGAGCTCGTTTGACTCTCCAAATTCCATTTTTACATCACAGCTTTCCAAGCCCTAGCCTGACCCATTTTTGATGAATTTTCTACAATTTACATGTAATTTCTACCATAAATTCGAATATTTTGGCCAAGGAGCTTACCTCCAAGTGATTCTCAGTCAAAACCCTCGAATTTCCTTGTTCAAAGCTTTTAAGAACGTCAACAATGGAGGAAAAATATGAAAGGGTCGCGGATGAAATATTATTTTAAAACCCTTCTGTCGCCCAGCGATTTTCGCTTCTGCGGTCCCGCTTTCGCTTATGCGGGACCGCTTCTGTGGCCACATTT